CTGTGTGTTGCGTCTTCCTTGCTGGCGAGGTCGTGCGCAACACTCTCCATTAAAATTCACACACAGACACACACACAGACACACACACACACACACACACACACACAGAGTTTTTACATTTTCCCCTTAAAATGATTAAATTGAAAAGCTGTTCCCATCCTAAAGATAAAAACAGTTTACTTTGTTAGGGGTGAGAGGAGATAGTGAGTGGCTTAAGCACCTGCCTGGCAAGTACAAGGACCCAGGTTCGATCCCTGGTACTACCTGCCTGGATAGCACTAGCCATGCAGCAAGACACTATACCAATCAATTCATTAATTAATTTAAAAAACTTTTGCATTTGCAAAAAGATCATATTTCCTAAGATTTACAATAATGGGGACATATTAAAAGCTTAATTAAAATTCCTTTAATTCCTAATAAAGTTGATTGCTTATTTTACAGTTCTAAATCAAAATAAGGATAAAAATTTTTGATGTTTTACAAATAAATATAGAGGTTTGGGGAACAATCTAAAAGCCATGTGGTTTAAGTAGTAGCTTGATTTTCACATACCATTTAAATTGTAAAAGGCCTAGTGATGGCCTCTAAAGGGCTACAAACTACGATAACTTTTTCATATTTGGGTAAATTTATCCAACAAGATATACTCCAAACTGTTCAGATCAGTCATTTATGATTTTTCAGACTTCATTTGGTAATATTAATTGCCTCCACCTAGATTTTGGGCTCATTCCTTTGGTATTATTGACTATCATTATCCTTAGATAAATTAATTTGCTTTTTGTCCTCACAGATAGGTCATGTTAGGTTAAGTAAGGAAAAGTATGGCTTCCTGTTCCAAAATATAGGATATAGGTTTCTCACTGTACAATCAAAATTCAATTACAAAAAAGGGGGGAATCAATCCTTCCAACATTACTTTTCAATATATGCTATTAAATTTTTAAAATTCTACAAAATATGGAAGTAGAGCAGCAGAAAGAATTCCATCAAGTAAGAGAAAAAAATTCTAGGAAAGTTTTTTTTCCAGAGATTGTCATACTGTACAATGGAAGAGACTGAGTCCACTTCTAATCTGAGGCACAGGGCATGTTTGTGTTTTTCCAGGAAATACTAAATGACCTATTTGGGTAATAGAGTACACTGTCAGGCTATACCATGAAGCCAGATCGGAAGAAGTTAACAGCAATGAGGCTTGATCTAACCTGGGGTGAATGAAGGAACTGACAAAATGGAAATTTAAGGTCTAAATAGTTGATAAAATATATAAAAATAACTGAGCTAAATTTTACTAGTATTAAGACAAAAAATACAAAAAGGCAAAGTATTCATATTAGTCATAAGATTTTATTCATTCCAAAATTTTCTGATATGAGATCTCTGCTTATTGACAAATAACAAAATCTGATTACTCTCTTCATAATTATAAATTTCTAAAAATTGTAATAGAAGTACTATGAATTAATCTGGCCAGGAACATAGTTTAAGAGCACCCATGATTTTGTAAAGATGTTTGTTTGTGCGTTCTGTGTATTTGTTTAGGTGTATGTAATTCTGTGAACAACTGTTGCTCTTTTTTCTTTTTTGATTATTTGTTCATAATACAACTTGGGATATAGACTTAAAAGTACGCTTTCTCCTAAGTTACCAGCTAGTTTAAGTTGGCTTATACAGTTTATTAAAAAGTTTAAGCTAATTAAACAAAAATTCCTTAGAGTGGGGAGAAAATACTAGAGAGCAGTCCAATTACTGAATAAGAGGTGTGGCCAACTTTTTTTTCATTAATGAGGAGCTTCCAATAATCCTAATAGTCTCTTATGAGATTCCCTCAATAAATTTGCCATATGTTAAAAGATAAAGTTTTTTAGAAAAAAAATTACAATAAGGTTTTCTCTTATAAATGGTTTTCATATAAAACTAAATTAAGAAACAATGGTTTTCACATACATATGGTAACTCATTATTGTTAATCTCACGCTGTTTTAAGTATATTCATGGTTTCAAGTGTACAGGTCTTTCAAAATGTGAAAGAAAGATTCTTATTGTGCTAAGACTTTCTCTCAGATCAAATCTTTGCCTTTATAAAAAAAAAACCTTTTCATGTGTATGTCATTTAACAATGACTAATTAGGTAAAAATTTCTTATGTATTAGATGGAGATGATTGGTCAAAAGTGTTACGCCAAAACAAAAATTTAAGTATGTCACAAAATGTCATCAGGATTGTCCTGCTACAATATTGTATATGGTTTTGATTTCTAAATTTCTATGTAAAAATGTATAATTGGCATCTTTTAATATTCTATAGGGATTTAAATATTTGACTATTCATGGTTGTTAGAAAATAAGTTTCATTTTATATCTAAAGTATTTTGTATTCCTATAGATAGTAATATTAAGCTTTCTGTCTCTGTTACAAGGGTAATATCATTAAGCTTCTTTTCTGAATGTTTAACAACTAAAGTTTGGAGGACAAAAATTAGATAGATGGGCTAAAAAGATAACCAATATTTTTCCCCTAGCCCTTCAAGGTCAGTGAGGACTCAGGACATAAGAGAAACTCTACTGTGACATCTTATAACTCAGGTGATTCCCTGATTTTCTGATGAAGGAGATAATGGAGCCACAGAGGAAAGTGATTGACAAAAATGTACATAGTGTGTATCTAGGAGTCACCCAAAGGAAAAAAAAAATCAGGCTTTCACACAAAGCAAATTGGTCAAGCAATGCCCATGACTCATCCAGATAGCTGACACTGACGGAAGATCTAAGAGGTGCTGTACATGGTTCCAAGGTAAATACTGAGATTTAACTGACCTTGTCAGATAGCAAAAAATTTGTATTTATACAGGTCTTGCTTTAACTTGGGCTTAACCATCCAGCAGAAAAGTGTAACCACGAGATGTGAAAAGTAATGTCATAATAATATGCTAAGCAGTAAAAGGCTCAAGTCATTAACAACTTCTGACAATTACCAACTGTACTGATAGCTCACTACTATTATGGGCTATTGGGTTATATAGGGTTACAGTGCTGAATTCAAGTACCTAAAATCTTTGGGGAGGTATCAAGTATGAACACAGCTTCTCTTACTGCAATAGAACACCCACCTCTGACACAACAAAACAAAAAGGGGGATATACTGGGAGCCACGGAAGCTAGAAAATTAGTCAAGTGTGTGTAAGCAGGACCTGGCTTCAGTGACTAAAGCAGAGAAGCTGCCTCAGTCCTGAGATAAACATCCTGACTGGTTAATGTCAGCTATTAGGCAACCTTGTGTCACATGTTACTAACTTTGCCAAGGTATAAATAAATGTCCATATTGTTGCTTGCGGGGGGGGGGGTTCATTTCACCAACCAGACAGCTGAGCCACCACCTAACCCAGCTCTTGTCTTCTTGTCTATCTTTTCCTCATTTCTGCTGCCGTTTCTTTCCAGGTAGAATGGATCATACTAAGAGATTGAAAGATCACTACTGTATATATTTTTAGATAAAATAGTCTACCAAAAATACCTTTGACATATACTGACATTAGCTTCAAGTTAATCAGCTTTAAATTACTGCCAGGTTTTTTTCTTTTAAAGTATAGTTTTGACCAGAAATACACTGAAGGAAACTGAATTTTGAGCTAATTTTAAATCTACATTTGAAAAAAAAAAAAAAAAAAAGAGTACTTTGACTACTGAAAAAAAGGACTAAAATCAGGAGCATAGAAATATTTGAAAACTGGGGCTAAACATAAAGTAGGCTGCTTAAAATTTTGCACTTTCCCAAATGTTTGCTTTATGCTT